AGCACAGAGCCAGCAATGGCCCCCAGGCACCTCCAGTTGCGACCCTAATTCCCCCTGCCACTCCGGAAAATAAAGTGATTGCTATAAGCACAGCCCAGTGAGTTTGGAGTTTAACGGAGACCCCCTTGGAGGACAGAGTGCTGATGAATGAGTGATGTGCTCGTGGGTTAGCAGATGCTTGCATGGGCCAGGCCACCCCCTGCCATGCTAGAGAGCGCCCCCCCAAGCCCCGCTTTCCGCCAGCAGCCTCAGTTCCCTCGGGACCCCGGCCATGTTTCACTGCTGCTGTTTTTAGGGAAGCGTTTCTAGGAACTGCCAGCGGCAGCTTGGCGTGTCTGAGCACTCTGCCTCCGCCGCTCAGATCCATCTGGGAGCGCGGGCTTCAGGGGGGTGCTCAGGGGCTGCCTTCGGGCTCCATCAATGATTCATGCCCAGGCCTTTGGGGGCCGCACTCTCTGCCCCCGCCTCTTCCCGTCCATTACGCCGACACAGCCCGGGAAATGGGCCGCGCGCACTCCGGCCCGCTCTATGGAAATCCAAGAAATGCAAGATTTTAAATCGAGCCTTATTGATCTCCCGTCCTGGTGCTATCCTTAGCAGGAGAGCAGGATTGATGGGGGCGGGGTCTCCGGGCAGTCAAGGGCACGCCGGCGGCAGAGGGACGGGGCCGAGGGGCTGGGGTGTCGCTCCCACACTGAGTGCTCTCCAAGATCCTCACAGGGGAGAGGACTAGGGGGCCCCCCAAGGCTTCCCTCAGGGAGGACTCGGGGCTCCCCCAAGCAGTCATGGGTTGTTCCTGGCAGGGCTTGCAGACCACCGTGGTGCCCGGGACACAGCCCTACCTGCTGTCCTGGTTCCAGGCCCTGGCTCATGTCCTGGCTAGCACTTCTGTGGGATGTGGGTGACCCTGATACTCCCCTGTACCTCGATAGTTCGCAGCTCCTGGAGGTTTCCAGGCCTGATCCTGCAGCTGCAGCAGAGCCCAAGGACACCGGTTTGCTCTCGGAGTGAGTGTAGCCGCCCTCTCGGTGGGGTCCTTGACTAACTCGAGCCTGGGCCAGCTCCTGGGCCCTTTGCTCCTGGGGGTTAGAAGCTTCCAGAGACTCGACATGGTTTTCAGATCTGTCTTCTTGGTGTAGCCTGTGGTGCTCACACACTGGGAACCTTGACTCGCAGGAACCTGGTCAGAGCGCATTTGGCTGGCCGCATTGGGGTTTGCCGTGGGGGGCCTTGGGCCCGGAGGAGGGTCCCGGGTAGGAGGGCCGGCCCACCTGTGGGATGGGGCAGACGGCCATTGAGCCTCGGCTGCTTTTCTCTCCACAGTGCAGCAATCAGAGCCCGGGCGTGGGCCAGCTGTGCATTTGCTGCTTCACTGGGTGTCTTACCTGCCTCTGAGCCTCAGTTTCTTCGTCTGTGAAATGGAGCCAACAGTCCCTTCCACAGGGTGCTTTTGGGGTGGCTCTGGAGCTGGTATAGGCTCGCCTTTGTAGTTGAATCTTGCCCCTCCTGGATGTGTTCAGGAGTGGGGTATGTGGGGGGGCGGATCTCCTGGGTAGGAGGGCACCACACTCATTCATTCCAGCACATCTTTGTCTCCGCGACAGCTGGTCACAGGGCAGCCCCCTGGTCGGTTCCCAGGGGTTGCAGGAAAGGTCTCCTTCAATTTGGTGTTTTCAGAATCCCCAGAACGCCCTCAGACATGAAGAAAGCCGTGGCTTCATTTCCTCCAGGTGCAGCTTTTCAACGTGGCGCCCTAAAGTAGGCCTTGGGCGGGGACAGAGAGATGCTAATGAGAGCCGAGGGAAGGCAGTTGGGGATTTGGGTTGCCATAATGGACATCGCGTACCACACAGGGATATTGGACCAAGGACAGCCCCGTCACATTGTGAAATGGGCCCATTTGATGTAGGTCGCTGCCAAACCACTAACCCATGATGATTTTCTAATTGGGCGATATTCTAGTTAGACACGGTCCCAGACGCCTTTTTATCCAGCCCAGAGCACATTCCCTCCATTTCCTTCGGGGCTGGGGCCGGTGTCAAGGCCAGGAACGCAGACGGGAGGCGTGTTTGCTCGGGGACCCTCTTGGAGAACTTGGCACAGTTGAGGGCACCTAGTGTGGGCCCCCAGGAGCGGACATTACGCCGGAAGCCTGGGATGGCGTCTGGAACCTTTCCTTGTTGGAGTGTTCTCAGACCTCAAGGCCAAGAGCATCCATCCCGGAGTCCCGTTCACCAGCTCACCCCTCCAGAGTGTGCTGGGTGCTCCTGCTCCCCTGCAATGCTCCTGGCGTTTTCCTCTCCCGGACTGTTGTTGGTGCGTGATCCTGGAGTGTGCCCCGGGTCAGTTTCTTGCCGAGCGTGAAGACTCTCGGGCTCCAGTGAACTGCGTGCATGTGTCCATGTAGTACATGCATGTGCATATATGTTAGGGCAGCTATATGCATGCACAAAGCCTGCACCTGAGCATGTGAAAGGAACTCTTTCAGCAAGACTGCCAGCCTCTCTCTGTGCGTGGGCGTTTCCGTTTCCTGTGTATGTGTTTACTGGTATATTCTGTCATTTACTTAAACAGTACTAGGGAAATTGCTCCGTTTGGCTGCAGACTAGTGCAGTGAGACCTTGTCCACACATTGGGGTGCGTGTCCCCCCGGGCCCCTGGAGTTTTCCCTCCTGTCAGAAATGAAGGCCCTGGCTCTGCTGTGGGGTCAGGAATATGCAGCGGGGAGGGCGGCGGCCTTGCAGGCGGCAGACCCAGGCTCAGTCCCCGACATCCCATGTGGTCTCCTAAGCATGGCCAGGGGTAGTTCCTGATGTAGAGCCAGGAGTGACCCCTACGCATTTCTGGGTGTGGTCCCCCAAATATGCAGAGAATATTCACAGAATGACCTGTCTTTTGAGTAGTGGCTGATTTTCCAGACTGGATGGATGGAATTGCCTGGTTCTGGCCTCCCATTACATGGCCTTGTTGGGGCTGAGCTCCGAGTGCCCCGACCTCCGCTCTCCTGAGGGGCTGGCACTGGCATCTGTGGGCCCTGAGGGGCCCTCGAGACCCCAAAACACAGCTGGAGGGGCCCAGGAAGCAGCATGTGATGTGTGTGTGAGGGGTTTGTTGGGGTATCTGTGAGTTGGTTTGCCTGTGAGCTGGGGTGTGTGTTGGGGTGTGTGTTGGGTGTCTGTTGGGGTATTTGTGAGTTGGGTGTTTGTGTTTGGGTGTCTGAGTTAGTTTTTTTTGTTGTTAGGGTGTCTGTGTTGGTGTGTTTATTGGTGTGTGTGAGTTGGTGTCTGTCGATGTGTCTTGTTGGGGTGTCTGGGGTATCTATGTTGGGGTGTCTGCTGGGGTAGTGTCTGTTGGGGTGGGTGCCTGTGAGTTGGGGTGTCTTGGTGCCTGTTGGAGTGTGTTGGGGTGCATCTGGCGTGTCCTGGTAGTGTCTGCACTGGGGTGTCTGAGTTGGGGTGTCTCTTGGGGTGTCTGTTGGTAGTTCCCTCGGCTTCCTAGCTGGGTTCTTTGGTTCCCTTTGTCTTGGAATGAAGCTCAAGTCTTCTGCCTCCACTAGATCATTCTGTGTCTTAAAGTTTTCTTTCAAATATATCGATATGCTCGAGCGGGCCCAGTAACGTCTCCATCATGAGACTTTGTTGTTACTGTGTTTGGCATATCGAATACGTCACAGGGAGCTTGCCAGGCTCTGCCGTGCGGGCGAGATACTCTCGGTAGCTTGCCGGGCTCTCCGAGAGGGGCGGAGGAATCGAACTCGGGTTGGCCATGTTGGCCGCTTGCAAGGCAGACGCCCTACCTGCTGTGCTATCGCTCCAGCCTTCAAATATATATATATAAATTTAAATTTCAGGTTCTGTGGGTTACGGCACGGTTAATGGTAGGGGTCCATGCATGATGCTGCATTCTCTGCACCACACCTTCCACCCCCCCTCCACCGGAATGACCAGTGTCACAGTGTCCCCTCCCATTCCCACCCCTCCTCTGTGGGAAGCTGCATAGTACTTCAGATTCAGGCTCAGCTTCTGCTGCATTTGGGGAGTTGTTAGGCCCCCTGTTTTGTTTCTTTGTATCCTACTTTGAGAAATGGGGGTGGGGAGGGGGAGGGAGGGAGGGAGAGAGGGAGATAGAACAGAGAGAGAGAGGGAGAGAGCGGGTCTGCCTCTCCCTCCAAGAACTGTGACCCTGCCAGTCTCGGGCGGGCCCTGGGGAGTGGGGTGCTGCCGTGGAGAAGTGGGGTCCCATGGGGAAAGAGGAACAGTGAACTGAGGGACCCACAGCCACAGCAGCTCCCCGGGGATGCCTCTCATTTCCCAGGAGGAGCAGGCCCCAGAGCCCCCCAGGAATTGAGGAATAGAGGAATAGAGGGGAGTGGGAGCAGAAGGCCCTGGCTTCACTCTGCACCCGTGGGGCGTGAGGCTGGGTGTTCCCCGCGACTGATGTCCCCCCCCAATAATTGCCTCAGAGTCCTGAATCCTGTGAACATTTTCTGTTTCATTTATTTATTTTCTTAATGAGAGTCTGTGGAAGAACCAAAGGTGAGCTGGGGCAGGCTCTTCCAGAAGGCGGTACTGCATTTTCTTGACTTCCTTATTTTTGGCTTTTTGGGGTCACCCCCGGCGGTGCTCAGGGCTCACCGACTCCTGGCGGTGCTGGGGGGACCCCGTGGGTGCCGGGGGTCGAGCCCCGCTCCTTGCTGTGCCTTCCCCTTCGCTCTGGCTCCCAGTCTCGGTTCTTTATTTCTGGGAGTAGAAAGCAGTTCCCGGGGGCGAGTCTCGCGGACGCACAGTGTGTCGGGAGCAGCCCCGCGGCCCCCCAGTGCTCAGTCCGGGTGCTCAGTCCGTGCGCTCAGCCCTGCGCGCCGTGGGCGCCGGTCCCGGGGGGCGTGGCCGCGGCGTGGACACTCTTGGACACTCTGGCCCCGCCGGGCCCATCCAGCCGCGCCTGCTCACGGCCGTGTCGCTCTGTTCCAGGTGTTGCCGGTTCCCCGCTGCACACGCGCCGCGGCCCGCCGGGCTCCGGTCCGGTCCGATCCGCTGGACACGCGCCTCCGCCGGACCCGCCCCGCGGCCGGCGGCTGGACACGCGCCCGGCCGGCTGTTGGGCCGCGCGTGCGCCATGGACCTCGTCGCGCTGCTCAAGTCCCAGTTCCTGTGCCACCTGGTCTTCTGTTACGTCTTCATCGTGTCGGGGCTCATCATCAACGCGCTGCAGTTCCTCACCCTCCCGCTCTGGCCGCTGGACAAGCAGCTCTTCCGCAAGATCAACTGTCGCCTGTCCTACTGCATCTCCAGCCGTAAGCGACCGGCCGCTGGCCCCTGCCCAGGCGAACGGGGCGGGCCCGCAGCTGGCTGGGTGCGAGCACCCTCGGGGGCGGACTGGGCCCAGGTGTCCACGTCTGCCCTAACTAAGGCCCGGTCCCTGCACGTAGAGAGATGCTAGCTAGCATTTGCCTGTAGGTAGTATGCGAACACGGCAGGTACTGGCATTCATCTGCAAATTGTATAGGGACACAGTGTATAGTGTCCATCATACACCGCAAGACCCGGATCCCTGCACGTGTAACAGATGCTAGCATTTATCTGTGATTATATAGGATCAATGTATACATCCGCCTTAAGGCCCGGATCCCTGCACATATAATGGATGCTAGCATTTATCTGTGAATATATAGGAACAAAATGGATGGTGTCTTACATCCGCCGTAAGATCTGGATCCCTGCACGTATAATAGATGCTAGCCTTTATTTGTAAATATATAGGAACAAATTATAGTGTCTTACATCTACCATAAGACCCGATCCCTGCACATATAATAAGTGCTAGCATTTATCTGTAAATATGTAGGAACACAATATATAGTGTCTTACATCCCTCCATAAGACCTCGATCCCTTCTTATATAATAGATCCTAGCATTTATCTGTAAGTACTATATGAACACAATAAGGTAAAAGGTAAAGGCCCTCCCGTTGATCGTCGATTTGCTCGAGCGGGCCCAGTAACGTCTCCATTGGAGACTTTGTTGTTACTGTGTCTGGCATATCCAATACTCTCGGTAGCTTGCCGGGCTCTCCGAGAGGGGCGGAGGAATCGAACTCGGGTCGGCCATGTTGGCCGCTTGTAAGGCGAACGCCCTACCGCTGTGATATCGCTCCGCAGATATATGAGCATTTATCTGTAAATATATAAACAGAATATGTCTTTTTTTTAATTAGTGAAACCATGAGGTACAGTTGTAGACTTACACATTTTTGTGCTTGGATTTCAACTGTACAATGATCAAATACCCATCCCTCCACCGGTGCCCATCCTCCACCACCACGGATCCCAGTATCCCTCCCACCCCCATCCCCCCCATCCCTCCCTGCCTCTGTGGCAGGGCATTCCCTTTTGTTCTCTCTCTCCTTTTGGGTGTTGTGGTCTGCAAAAGAGGCATTGAGTGGCAATCATGTTTGGTCTATAGTCTACTCTCAGCAAGCATCTCCCATCCTGGCAGGATCCTCCAAACACCCTTTATTTGGTGCTCCCTTCTCTATCTGAGCTGCCCTTTCCCTTAGAATGCCCGGCTGGCCTTTAAGCCATAGAGTAATTCTCCTGGTACTGATCTCGGCTATTCTTGGGTAATAATCTCCTATTTTGTTACTTTATGTCCCCCAGATGAATGCAATCCTTCTATGTCTGTCCCTCTCTTTCTGACTCATTTCGCTTAGCATGATACTTTCCATGTAGTACCACTTGTATGTAAATTTCATGACTTCATCTTTTCATACAGCTACATAGTACTCCATTGTGTAGATGTGTCAAAATTTCTTTAACCAGTCATTTGTTCTTGGGCACTCAGGTTTTTTCCAGACAGAATATATGTCTTATATCCGCCATAAGACCCAGATCCCTGCATATATAATAACATTTATCTGTAAATAGCATATGAACACAATATATTGGCATTTATCTGTAAATAGTCTATAAACAATATATACTGTCTTACATATACCTTAAGACCAGGATGCCTGCATATATAATAGCATTTTTCTGTAAATAGCATATGAACACTATATATACTAGCATTTATCTGTAAATGGTATATGAACATTATATACGTTTATGTAAAACACTGTAATCACCCCAGACAGAAGTTCCTGCCCTCTTACCCTATCAGAAATAGCACCAGACTTGCCTGCCAGTTCTGAGTTGATAAAATAAATCATGATCAAGGATTTTCCTTTCCATTTTTTTCTCTCACAAGTCAGTTTTTTAAAGTTTAAAACATAAATGGAATAATCTGTAATAATTTGTAATAATCTACTCAGATAACTAGCATGGTTATCCGAGGTCTTATGGAGGATATAAGAGATTATGTATTGCATTTCTATGTATTTACAGATAAATTCTAGCATCTATTGTACATGCAGGGACCTGGGTCTTATGGTGGATGTAAGACACTATATATGTCTATATATATATATATATCTTTCACATCCACTATAAGATCCAGATCCATGCCTATATAACAGATACTAGCCTTTATCATAAACAGTATATGGAACATGGAATATAGATCCCAGCATAATAAGTCGAGGTTCTTGGTATATATTTAAAAGTAATAGCAGGTAGTATAGATAATATATGTAGTATAGAATATATGTGTTAGATGCCGGCTTATGAGGTCCACATCTATACTAGGGTGAATCTATAAATAGCACAGGAAATGTATCAGACTCAGCCACTTAGCTCAGATCCTTGCATATCTAAGATGTAAGAGCCAGAATTTGAAGATCTAGATAAACAGTCACATACAGCATATGGTTATTAGGAACCAGCATGTCAGGCCTAGATCCTAGCCTGTCCATGTGTGAATAGCATGTACCCGTAGCACAGTATAATCAGCATGGAGATGGGTATATGTAACAGACATGTGCTCTTTCTGTAAGGAAACGTACATTCCTGTGTCCACCCCATGTGTGGTGATGAATGTGTGTGCAGTGAGTCTGTGTAGACACAATATAGACACTTCTATATGTTCTGGGAGCAAAATAACAATGTACCCTTCTGCTGCTGTCCTTCCTTTTTTTTTTTTTGGCTTTTTGGGTCACACCTGGCGATGCACAGGGGTTACTCCTGGTTCTGCACTCAGGAATTATTCCTGGTGGTGCTCGGGGGACCATATGGGATGCTGGAAATTGAACTTGGGTCGGCCACGTGCAAGGCAAACGCCCTCCCCGCTGTGCTATCACTCCAGCCCCTGTCCTTCCTTCTTTAACTTCCTATCTTGGGACATTGAAGGATTAAGTGCAGTTTGAGAATTCATGCAGAGGTTTCTAGCCGGAGGCCTGTGACCTGCAGGTCAGAGAGATCACCTCTCTGGCCCAATGATGGCAGCCAGAATCAGAAAATGGGCTCATTTCAGCCCGTGGTTTTTTTGGGCTCATTTGTCTAGAGGTGTGTGGATGGATCATGCTAGACTATTTCAGACAGCATCCACTGGGCTGGCCCATGTTTTAGAAAGTAAAGGTGAGGAGGTAAGAGCATGTTGGGGCTGCCCGCAGATGCGTTTGCTCGGAGCTCTCCGCAGAGGGAGTACTGTGCAGTTATGGGTGTGAGTGAGGGTGTGTTTCCCGCGAGCTCGCCCAAATGAGGCCATTAAAACCGTGATCCCAGCTACCTTCCGCCCTGCCCAAGCTCTCAAATTGTTCATGCATGGTCTTTCTTAAACCTTTTAGATGGAGTGACCCGATCTGAATTGGAACCAAAATAGTACTCGCTGCATACAGTTATCCGAGTAGATTATTACAGATTCGCCATTTATGTTTTAAACTTCAAAATACTGATTTGTGAGAGAAAAAACATGGAAAGGAAAATCCTTGTTCATGATTTATCAACTCGAAACTGGCAGGCAAGACTGGTGCTATTTCTGATAGGGTATGAGGGCAGGAACTTCTGTCTGGGCTGATTAGAGTGTTTTACATAAATGTGAAGCTAGGATGACTGTTAGAATCCCAAAGAAAGTATGTGGTTGTGTTTATGCAAAGTGGGCCAGGCACCTGTCTGTCCAACCATGGTAATGTGCGCGTTTGATCCAGCAATGGCTTCTAGGTTGGGTTTTTGTTTTTGTTTTTGGCTGATGTTTGGTCACACCTGGCGATGCTCAGGGGTTACTTCTAGCTCTGCACTCAGGTTACTCCTGACAGTGCTCAGGGGACCATATGGGATGCCGGAGATTGATCTGGGGAAGCTGCTTGTGAGGCAAACGCCTTCCCTGCTGTCCTATTGCTCTGGCCCCAGGCTTCTAGTTTTTTTTTTTTTTGTTTTTTGCTTTTTGGGCCACAGCTGGCGATGCACAGGGGTTACTCCTGGCTCATGCACTCAGGAATTACTCCTGGCGGTGCTCAGGAACCATATGGGATGCTGGGAATCAAACCCAGGTAGGCCACGTGCAAGGCAGCACCCTACCCACTGTGCTATCACTCCAGCCCCCCGGCTTCTAGATTTTAACCAAAGAGAGCAGAGTGGGACAGAGGCAGGAGGAACCCCAGCCTGGAGCTGCTCGTGTAGGGTGCGGATGGTCCAGGGAGGAAACTGGTTATCTGAGAGTTTCCCTAGAGCCTTTTACATGCCAGCAGTAGGTCTGATGAAAACGGGAAGGAACCTGACTTTTAGGGCAGCAGCCTCTGTCCTTAGGGGGTGGCCTGTGCTTAGAAGGGTCCCGACCCTGCCAGTTTGCACACCATGCATGTTTGCCCTTTCCTGCCTGGCACCCGGATTCCAGCAAGTGCTGAGGAACCGGCTTCTCGTGCGCTGCCCTGCCAGGGAAGCCTGAGAGCCTGCTTGGGGGTGCAGAGACTAGAAGTGAGGCCAGGCCCCCCGCTTTCCCTGAGGTTGTCTCCCCGCCTCTCTCTCCTGACCCTCCATGTCCGTGGCAGGTAAATTCCGTGTGCGGGCGTGGTACCCTGCTGTTCGAACATCTCTTTGTGACGCCTGGGTGTAACCCCTTCCTCTCTGGGACTCAGCCTCCTGTGCTGTGATGACATTCGCCCATGGCGTGGGGGTCCTTCCTGTGTGGGACGCCTGTCTGCACCTGAGAACGGTCTCTTCTCACTCTGGCGCTTGCTCTCCGGCCTGGAAAGGAGCGATTGGACAGATCGAATACTTTGTGTCCACAGACTGGCCAAGTTGCTGCTCTTCCTTGCTCTAGGGATCGTGAGTAGACGCAGAGGCAGCGGAACGAGAGTCTGGCAATGCCCCCAGAGGCCAGCGTGCAGGCCCGAGTGGAGATTGGCACGGGGCCAGAGTGCAG